TTTGTGGGGGGGCAGCCAGCTGTGACAACCATGGGATAGGGGCGCAACTTTTCGCAGGACCATTACAAGGAGCAGAACTTCGTGGTGGACGCCATGCGTCTCAAGTGCTCGGCCGAGCGCTTGAGCGCGGATGCCCTACCCTTCCACCTCATCTACGGGGGTGGCTTGCTGGAGCCGCGGTTTTTTTTGTTGGGCGGAAATGTGTGGCTGGGAAAACGAGCCAGAGAGGCGACAAGTTTCGAGAGGACCTGAAGAAATCAGCTTTGGGTTTGCATTGTTTTGAGGATATTCTTGATGGAAAGACCAAAGGAAGCTGCAATTTTGGACCCCCCCCCTTCCCATTTTTGGCCTCTACCCCAAAATCGGTGCCACCACTGTCAGGAGTCTGAGCTGGCATTGCTGATGAGCCGCCCGGCGTGGGAGGTTTCTCCGTGGGAAGTGGCGGACTGGGGACCCTAGTGACCCTCGCATCGAGTCCGTCTCCTTTCCGATGGTTTTTTGTACTTCCACCAGCCTTGAAGCCAGAAAAGGATGCTCTCGGGGTTTGAGCGCGATTGAGCAAGCCGCTAAGTTGCCGGGATTCCGCCAGGACGGAGGTGATGTTGACCAATGGAATGCTTCGGCGCTTTGGCTCAAGGAGACACTGCTGTGCGAAGGTCCTTGCATGGCCCCACCCAAAATGCAAACTTTTGGATTGTGCGTAGCCAGAGGCCAGAAAAGGAGGCAAAACCATTGATAGGGGTTGTTTTTTGAGACGTTCTATTTCAATGCCGCGACCGGAGCACGACGTGAGCAAGCCCGACAATCCGCACGCCAGCAACTCATGCAATCAACCAGGTAGTTTACTGGAACATCTTAAACGTCGGTTGGTAGCCCCCCCCCAAAGAAAAATAAATAACAACAAAAACAATCAAAAACAAGAACCAGAAGGACAAGAAAACAAGTATTAGCCGAGGCAACTGCAATGGCTCGAGAACTTACTGTGCGACAGCTGTCTGGGAACGATGAGGCATTCGCAGTCCCGAAAGACATCACAGTCCGTGAGTTCAAGCGGCAGATTCACAGGTGGCTGCCCTGCGCCGACGAGTCGAAGCGTATTATGAGCTCGGTGGAGGTGATTGTTGAAGACAGGCCCTTGTTGAATAACGAGGAGATGTTGTCAACGGCCATTCCAGGTGCACAAGTCACGGCTTTCCTCGGCATCAAGCCGGTGAGATGTTCGAGCTTCCAAGCCTCCGGCTGCGAGCTGGAGGATATTCGGGTGGTGGAAATTCCAGCAGGAGAGCAGGTTGAAGCAGGCGCATTCCACGGCTGCACATCTTTGGTGAGTGTAACAATCCCGGACTCCACGAAAGTGATTCAAGAACAGGCTTTCGCAGACTGCAGCTCGCTGATATCTGTGACCATCCCTAACTCCGTCACTGAGATTCAAGATGATGCCTTTTCAAACTGCAGCTCATTGACAAGCGTGACTATCCCCGACTCGGTTGCCGCCATTGGATGCGCAGCCTTCTTTGGTTGCGGCTCTTTGACAAGCGCAAGCATTCCGCACTCAGTCACTGAGATTGGACATCATGCCTTTTCAGGCTGCAGCTCGTTGACAAGCGTTCGCATCTCCCGTTCTATTTTTCAGATAAATGTCGGAGTCTTCTCAGATTGCATCTCGTTAGCTAGCATTTCACTCCCTAGCGTGGCCTTGATTGACCAGTTTGCCTTCAAAGGTTGCTGCTCTTTAACAAGCATTTCCATCCCACATGCAATTAAGATCCTTGATGGAGCCTTCTCAGGCTGCACCGCTCTGACCGTCATCGTGCTTCCCCGCTCCATGCTTGAGATTGAAGTACGTGTTTTCAAACAGTGCACCTCGTTAGCAAAGGTTGCCATCCCCAACTGCGTGACCCGGATTGAAGATGAAGCCTTTGAAGACTGCCCCTCGTTGACAAGCTTCACCATCCCTGAGTCCGTGGCGAGCATAGGGCGTAGAGCCTTCTTCGGCTGCAGCTCGTTGACAAGCATATCCCTTCCAAGCTCCCTCAAAAAGATTGGAAAGGAAGTCTTCTCAGGCTGCGCGTTGACAAGTGTAGCTATCCCTGGTTCTGTCGTTCAGATTGGATGTGGAGCCTTCTCAGACTGCAGTTTGTTGGCAAGCGTGAGCATCTCCAACTCCATCCCGCAGATTGCAGATGAAGCCTTTCGCAACTGCATCGCGTTGACCAGCGTGACCATCCCGGATTCTGTCCTCTACATTGGAATTGCAGCCTTTGCAGGCTGCAGCGCGTTGACAAGCGTGACCATCCCCCACTCCGTGACTGAGATCGCAGAATTTGCTTTCAGTGGCTGCAGCTCGTTGACAGGCTTGACCATCCCCGATTCTGTCACGAAGATTGGGCGCCAAGCCTTTTCCGGCTGCAGCTCGTTGGCGAGCCTGACCATCCCCGACGTCGCTGATATTGCGGATGATGCCTTTCCGGCCGGCGCCCCGCAAACGCAAGCCAAGGCGGATTTGTGAGGCGCTCTCGCCCCTTTCTGGCCGGAAGCCTGCGCATTCCTGGTTCTCGGCAGCCGGCGAAGGATGTGAGCGGATTGCGGAAAATCATGCATTTCGGGGGTCTTTTTGGCCGTGGCAGCAGGAGATCCACTGTTCAAAGATCCGGTTGCTCAGAGTGCAGGAAATCAGCAAACTAAGAGTTGCAGGAAACTGGGTTACCACGTTACTACCACTTGTCCATACACAAGTGTCAAAGACGAGGTCATTGCTTCAGAATCTTTCGCTTCAAATCAAATTGTCTCCTTCCGCCTTGTTCGTGCCGGCTCTCCAAGCAGATAAGGTGGCAGATCGTTCAGGCAGGATGTGTTGGACTTGTTTTCAGAGTTCGTGGTGCATCTCGAACGTGCCTATCTGTCTCGTCCCGTCACAATCTCAAGTTTGCATTTGAATTTCAGTCATCAGGCCCCCGCGCTTCTGAGGATTCGGCTTCATCATTGAGGATTACTCAAGGGAGGCAGGGGGCCTTGTGACAAACACAGCGAACTAAGACACAACTTGGCCAAGCCCAGCCGACCATAAGCAAGGCTCAGCTTATTGGATTCACGGTTCCGCCCACAAACATGGAAGTGCATAAGAGGCTAAAGGGGAGAGCGTCTTCCAAACCCCTCCTGTCAGCTTCCACAATTGGAGGGAGGGCCCTGTGACAACGTCCGGCAGGTGGATGTGATCAAAGCCAAGTGCTGCTCCGCAGCCTGCCCGGATCGCTACGATGGCTGGGCCACCATCTTCAAGCTCTTCGCATGGCGGGGGGTGGCCTATGCAGCATGGCGAAGGATGGCTTGGCCGCAGGTCTCCGTCCATTTTTTTTGGGGGGGAGGGGGGGGTTCTCAAAATACGGTGGAAATGGACGAAATTCCTTTCGCAGCACCCAAGAAATCCCTCTGATGTGTCCTTTGCAAATGCCAACGGTCCTTTGCAAATGCCAACGGAACAATGGTTCCAACCCATGGTTTCAAAGTGATGCGAAATGGATTTCGTCCACACACAGTAGGTTTCCTCACCAAATAAATAGATGTTTTCCTTTCAGGGTGCCGCTTGCGTGGCCATTTTGTTGTTCTCTATGTGGACGGGGCAAGGGGATGACAACTGTTCCACTTAAGGCTCCATGTCCCCTCCGTTAATTACTGGGAACACATACGTGGAACAAGGGCTCCCATCGGCCTTCCCGTTGCCCAAAGTACATGCAGGGGGATGTTTGGTTTGTTGCCGAATGCTGCTGCTTTTGAGAGGCCTGCAAGTGCAGGTCCCTTTTCTTGCGAGCCACCCTTTCCTTTCTGCCGACTCAGGCAAATACTCGCGATGTTTCGGGCTCTTGGAAAAGAAGTCTGTATGAATGTCTTGTGAAAAGTGGCCTTCATGGCTTTCCAACGCCCATTGGCCATGTCGGCGAGCAGGCGCTTCCAAGTTGGATGGGGCACTCGTTTAAGCGTAGGGCGGGGTCTCCAATGGCATGTCACATGACAAATGTTTTGACATGAGAGGTTGGTTGCTATCCCCCAATAAATTGGGCGGGTGAGCACTCGAATTTCATTTCCCTCACAGCCAAAGCCACACCACTGGCTGCATTGTGTGCTGAGGACTTGGTGTTGCACATTGACATGGATGCCTGCTTCTCGGGCCGCGCGCCGGGCAATGCGCTGAAGGCGGTGGGGAGTTCAAGTCGGATGTTGGCTCGGGAATGACCCCGAACTAACGAACACGGCAGGTTAGCGACAAGCGGAGGTGGGAGGCTAGCACAGGTCTCTACTGCTATTGGGTTGGATCTTTAAACTTTAACTTTTTGGATTCCCTTCATATTTCCTTTTAACCAGCAAAAAGTTAAACTTTTTGCTGGGGGATCTACAGCACCCAAGAGGAGGACAGCTGTCTTGCAAGGGTGTCCATTCCTCAGTGGTAGTGTTTGGCAGCCCGATGTGTAGCCTAAATCGTGCAGTCGCCTGCCTAGCTGCATGTCCAGTCAATGTGCAGATGGCTCGGGTCGACAGAGGGCGGTTTCTTCAGCGGTTTCTTCAGGATTCCGAGTTTGGGGCCTTCCGTCGCAACTGGGGTCGCCCATCACGTCTCCCTCAAACACTCGGTCGCCCGGTATTCTTCCTTGGGGCCCAGCAGGCTATTCCTTTTTCCTGAAGATGTTGGACGAATGCAATCTTCGTTATGGCCCCTAAATCTGCAGCAAGACTAGGGTTTCAAAGGGTCGCGTTTGGAGCTCTTGTTTGGAAAGATTCTTCCACGGGCCCATGTTAACAATGCCATTTCATGCAGGGCACGCGACCTTGCGCAGGTGACATGCATGTCATAGATTCTGTCGCCGTCGTGGCCCTTGGGATTCGATCTGGTTTCGATTGGTTTCGATTGGTTTCGATTGGTTTCGATTGGTTTCGGGAAGCTCCCCTGATGCCTTGGGATGTACTTTGGCCCCTTGTCACCCCCAAAGAACATCCCGGGGCATTCGTTTGGACTGTCTAGGCTCCCGCCTTGAGGCCCTCCACGCGGAGAATGTGACGTTTCTCAGTGACCAGTCCCCCTCAGGCCGGGGTTTTGCGAGGGAACCGGGGACACATCCATAGTGCACTGGTCCGGATTGGAAAGCACCTTTCGCAAGCAAATGGCAAGTTAAGCAACAGGTTGTATAGCTCAGTTGCCCAAAGCCGACCTTTTGACCTTTTGGTTGGTTCCAGGTCCTTTGGGCAACTGAGATAGGGCAAGGGTCATCCAGATTTACTCTAGCCCAGGCTTTGACAAGCAGAGTGGCTTGCCTGAAACCTGCATCACTGGAAGTTGTTGCACGGTGAACCCTCTGACCTTTTGGCCAACCAACCAGCCAGCCGACAGTCGCCGACCTCGGAAAGATCATCTCTGTGGGTCTAACCCCCTGCCATTTTCAGCTATGAAATGCTTGCTGTGACCCCCTTCCCTAACCTGGTAGGAGAGGGGATGGCTGTTCAACAAATGAAAATGGAGATCTCGATGATGCTAGGCTCTGGACTCTCTGAATCACCAAAGTCCACGGAGATCAGATACGGTTGGTTTGCCATCCCGCCATGTTGACATTGCAGCCACTTCCCGGGACAGCAAGGCAAACATGAGTCTCGACAAATAAGAGTGGTGGCGTGTCTATGAAACGTGTTGAAGCCAATTGGCCGAAGCCAACTGGATTGACGTACGGAGGCAATGCCCGGTTGTTGCCTCACACGATCTTTGCTTCTGTCCACTGAACTGCCTGTCCGGGCATAGTCTAGCCCGACGCTACGAAGCGACTCAAATAGTTGGCCGAACATAACAGCTCCATTTGCGCGTGAACCGCGAACCACACCCCACTCGGCCCTTCTCAAGCTTCCAACCCTAACAAAGCCTCAATCAAGACCATCGACCAGACTGAAAGCTGGAGCTGGAAGGCTGGGCAAGAAACTGAGATCTACGAAACATCGACGGGAACCGGCTGAAACTGTCAAGTGCCCGAAAATCCTCATGGGATTGAGCCCCTCCAAAGGGGGGGGGGGTGGAGGGGGAGGCTTTTGTTCAGCGACGGCATCCTGCAAAGAATGCATCCATGTGCTCACCAATCCAGAGTTTCTTTTGCTTTCATGTTGACAGTCCGGGAGCCACAGTGAACCATGTTGAGACTATGCCTTAACATTGGCTAAGAGCATGTTCAGCTGGCTAATTGAGGGTCAGCCGGAGCCTGGCGTGCGATTTTGTCGGTTCCCTGACCCCGCCCGCCCCTGAAATATTCCAAAAGACCATTCTGACCGGAAGTCAAGCTTTCTCTCGTCCCAGCCTAGATTTGAGGCCTTCCCTTTTCGGCCCCAAAGCGGGACGATGCCTGTGGCCAAAACGTGGCAATGTCTGGCAGACACTCGCCATTACACTCAACACATGGTTTTAGAACAAGCTTTAACCTCCAGGATTGGGGCAAGCAAAAAGGGGCACCTCAAAAAAGTCGCGCCCAAATCAATCCAGGGCTCGCGTTTGATTTGGGAGGACCGGGCTGGCATTCACACATCTTCGCGCTGAAGCCTTCGCTGCAGATGTTCAAGGACTTGAACCAACGCCCTCGGGAGCCCGTTGTTAGTCAAGGCTCTAAGGGGATTCGAATGTTGATCCCTGATGAATAAATCGGATGAACAAATCAACAGAAATATCATTCATTATGAATGTGCTAGGGCCTGCCTCTAGTAATTCTTTATACAAACTGTATAGCACTTGTTAAGAGGGGGGGTCACTGATTGATAGAAGCAAGGCCTCATGAATATGCAATGAGTAGCCTGATGACGGCAGTATGAGCTTCGGTGGCCGCGCTTTAACTCACCAAATATGTTGGCACTGTTATCCTGATGCGATGGCCCAGGGAAACTCACAAAGAGTGCTCCATTTGGTTTGTCTTGAGCCCCAAAAGGGTACCCCCCCCCCCCCCCGCAGATTTACAAGGAACCCAAAATTCGTGATTTGTAGAAGAAACCCTTTTGGGGGACCCCCTAAAGTGGGTTCCATGTTTCTTTGTCGCGGAGTACCCTTAAGATACACCCGGATGTTGTAAGTAGATGGCTGCAAAAGTGGGACAGCCGCTGCACATGGCGACACAGGTGAGAGTCGTCAACCACAAAACCCTTCGGGGGAAGCGTCGGTGCTGATCTTCCCTTGGAATATGTTAGTGTTCAAGTTTTAAAATGCTAATAAAACAAGCTCACCGATGGTAAAACGAGCTCATCCATGAGGCCTCCTTTCTTGTGGATTTCTTACACCAAACGCGCGAAGTTTAGTGACCTTTCCAAGATGAGCCGCGTGCATCTCTTCTCCAGAAAGAGATCGGCCGCTGTGGGCAAGCGACGGCAATCAGAGGGCAACTCCTCAGATGCCTGCTTTACTGGACGGTATTTCATATTCTATTTGATCTCCACTAGATTTCCCATCGCGATGAACGATCTCGCCGGACCTTTTTGGCCATCTCTCAGGTACCCACCCAGGCAAAGGACGTCAACGTGTGGCACCATTTTGTATCGTTGCCCTTTGCTATCATGAGGCCAGCAAAGTTTGAAATTCCCAGATGCTTGAACATTGGCTGAAGCGAAGTGGAGCTTCCGGGTTCTTGGGCCCTGCGGGACTCTCAGGGTGAGCAGAGAAGCGCAAGATGACCACTTCATTGCTGGATTCCTTTGCCTTCCATCGAGCCGGCAAAATCCGACCCGGCGCTCGTTTTGCCCGCGTCATTTTTGCCTCACCTCTTGGCTTTGGGGTTGCGATGCTTGGCTTGGCTTGGTCAGAAATTCGTGTCGACGCACAGGAGGTCATGGACTTTACCCTGACGCGACTTGGGGGCAGATCGATCGGCGAGCAAGCCGGTGGTGGAAGGATAGAAAGAACCGGGGGGAAATTCGATTGCTGTTGCATCATCCAGTGACTGATATCCTGTTTTCTCGGATTAGGACTCATTTGGCAGGTTCGGCAGCAAAAGCTGGGGCAAACAGTAGAATGCAGCACAATGGTTTGCTTTTTGCGCGAGGAAGCAGTGGCTGGCACAAACTGCTCCCAGCTCCGGCCCTCACAACACGTGACCTGGGTGAGCTGTAAGGCGGATCTATGCGGATCTAGTGAGGTTTTGTGCTGTAAACTGGGATCTTTTGTTGACATGTTGTTCTATACATTCTCAAGGTTGGACATCACACATGATGCAACTTGTCGGTTGGGGGCAACAGCTGCGAGCAAACGGGTAGGCAATTATCATGTCTACCGGGGAGCTGCCGGGAGGATTATGATACAAGGCTTGAAGGCTGGAAGTAACATCCAAGCGTGACCCATGTGAAACAAGGGAGAAACAGATGACAACCGGGACAAGCAGGAGGACACTTGTTGGTTTGATAATGCAATCCCTTTTGGTGTTGCAGGTTGTTCGTTCGTTCCTTGCGCCACTGGCTAGGGTCCTTTGGGCGGATTGAAATAACACAGAATCAACAAAGGCTGGGCACATTCCTTTGAGGATGTTTCCTTTTGTAGGGCCCCTCAAGGAGAGTTGGTGTAACCCGACTCCTGGAGGTTCCTTTTCCGTCTCTATGCATACCCAGCTTTGAGACCTGGATGTGAATGAAAGTATGATAACCAAGACGCTGCAGCTGAGGGGAAAACAGCCACTACATGTTTGAGGAAAGCGGATCGGAGCAGGAGCTGTGCTTGAAGCATTTGAGATGCTAGAGTTACTGGCGGATTTTCAGTCTCTGCTCGCTCGGCTTGCTACCGCCCGCCACTTTTTCTCCAGCCCACAGTGGTGCAAACGCGGGCGCGACTGAACCGTGAAAGCACCGCGGCGACAGGGGTGGTCGCCGACATCGGGCACCTCAGGGCTGGCAGCCCTGGCGGTGAATGTTACAAATCTCCCTGAAAAGCATCGTTTGCGAGGTTATAAACCCGGGCCTCCCACTTAGGAGCTTTGGGGAGGCGGTCCGTTTTTCGAATCTCCCAGTGGGGTGTTCCCAGTTTCCGTGGAGAAAATAGTTTGTGGGCGTGATTCCTTACCTACATGATCTCCACCAAAGGGTCCCCTAAGATGTGCGCCCATTTCAGCACGTTGGCGTGCCAGCAAGTGCGGAACCATTCTGCATTTTGATGCTGTTTTGCACCAACCAGGACGATCAACGAAACATGTGTACAAGCAATGTTGGCAGCAAATCCAAACAGCAGCTCAGCGTAGAATTGTCGATGTGACCCACAATGAAGGCGCCTTGCCGGTAAGGAACACCCATTATTTGTTTGATTAGTTTACGCAGCACAATATGCTCTACAAATGTTGCATTGGATTCCTGAATTATTTGTTTCGTCAGCTTACCCAGCACCATATGCTCTACAAATGTTGCATTGAATTGCTGAATAATTTTAGCCAGCCAAAGGGTCTCATCGTTTTCCTCGGGGAGCCTGCAGCATTTCAATGGCCATTTACCGACAAGGTAGCAATGCAAACAGCTTAAAACAAGTCCGGCAGTCTGGGAACGAGACAGCTCACTTGCCGAAAGCTGACCTTTGGACATGTCGGTTTTCGATTTGGGCCCATTTCCAAATATATATATATATATAGATGTTTATTTGTTTATTCATGGATTTATTTATTTATTTATTTATGATAGGTTTGTAGCGATGGACAATTAGTTCGGCCCTAGCAGCATTCTCTGAGGCATGCGCCACATACTTGCGGCCTTTCTGGCAGGCGAGGAGTCTGCTCCGTTTGCTTGAAGGGGCAATCATGTGTGCATTTGGTCAAATGCGTTTGTTAATTCGGCTGGAAGGACATGTGGCAACAGTGAAGAATTGCCACAACTTTCATACAGCCAAGGGGAAAATATAGGGTACACACTCCAAGTTGCTTGCACCGTGAGGGAATGCGGATTTCTCACCAAATTCCAGTGTTAGTTGTGTCGGCAAATGGACATAGACCACGACGTGCCCACTTACATTAATTTACGCCATGATCCGTTTAGCGAACAGCTGGTTGCGTGCCGCGCGCTCCCCATGGGAACCGTCAACACTAGAGCCGGATGTCCGAGAATGACTCTATTTTCCTTTGGTTGTACCCTTGCAGCGTCGATGTCAGAAGCCCACTGTGCATCAAGCCAAGCCACAGTAGCTAGGTCCCCCAGTAGTGCCCTTTTACCATTTTTTGGGGGAGGGTTCCCCACTAAAATAGACTACAGAACAAAGGGTACCCTTATTCTAACCTCTTTGCTGGAGGACCTAGGCAGAGTTCAAGTCCGACCTATCGACCCCAAAAATGTTGATTGGAGAAGGGGTGTCTCTCGGCTGTGGCTGTTTTTCTTGGGCTACTGTAGAGTCCTGCCAGTAAGGATGGGGTGTCGGTTTTCGCAGGATGCGTTTGGCACAGTGCCCAGGCATGCGATAATGGATAATTTGCATTCCAAAACATCACTGAAGCCGTTAATAGAACCTTTAGTTTTAGCTTTTTGGGCAAGATGTCCAACCAGTGGGCATGTTTGAGCACGTTCGTTCACTGACTTTCGTTCACTGACCTCATGTGGAAACATCCGGGACCCAGCCGCTGTCACCAGAGGGCATCAGAAAGCTCGACCATAGTGACCGTTGCTTCTCAGGAGTCTCTGTGCGCATATTTCATCGTTTCATGTTGACAACAAAGTTGCCGCAATCATAAGCTCCGCCTGTCACGTTAGGTGCATTTGGTTTCATTTGGGGTCGCTTTTTAACAGGGCTGGTCAAAGGTAATCCTTAATCATTGCCTGGGGTTACACAAGGGGTCCCCTTTGTAGCAGCTTTCCTTTAGAAATTACGGAAGATCGGATCGGCCACCCCTCCATTTTTAACAGCCCAGTTTAAGTCAGACCCCAGCGTTTTTCACGCATGGCAGGTGTGGGGTGCAGCCTGGAGCTAGAGGATCGATCCCGTCCGAAACGAACCGCACGACTTCCCCGTGGTCGGGGACTTGTGCGCCTCGATGTTTAAACGGGTCTGTGGGAAGAGCCCTATGAATGAAGGGGTTGCAATTCTTGCAATTATCCCAGTGGCCTTGCCCGCTTTGGGCTCATGTGCATGTGATGTTGAAGAGGACCGCTTTGCTTGCAATGCTGTAGATCCAGCCAGTCCTGAAACCAGTGCCGCGGTGGTTCTGAGTTTGCGCAGTGCTCCTTCAGGACAATGCCACGCTGCGCAGTGGCTTGCTTCAGACGGCCAGCGGTTTTCTTTGTGCCATTTCGTGTCGTGTGCCTCCCCATAATTTCCTCCAAATCATGTTGCTGGGGCTTGTGGGTTTGCATCAAAAAGTCGCGGCCTCAACCAGAAAGAATGCCAACCTGTGAAAATGGACTCCTGAATAGACATGTCCAGCTTGCATGGGCACCATGACCACAACCGGGCTGTGCATTCATCCGGCTGCATTTCCAGGAGTGCGATGGCGCTTCCGTGCTGCAGCAGCGATCCTCGGCTTTTTTTGCCACTCAAACTAATGGCCACATTGAGCCATTGCCAGGCTTGCCTTTTGGTGTTTCCCTGTAAGCCTTCAACGTCGTCCTTTTTAACCTATACCCTTTTTGTTCACTGGCCACGCGATATGTTTGCCACAATGGTATGTGCTGTATGTATGTTAGTTGTGTATACTTGCCCTTTAGACTCTACAAGGCTGCCCCCCCCTCAAGAAAGCATGGGGTTTGTGACCTGCGCTACCTGGCTGCCTGGACGCACATCTAGGTGCGTCCAGGCAGCACAGGTCACATCTAAGAACGGCATTGGAAAGGGCTGTTGCCCCTTTCCGGATCAGCATCTTCGGATTGATGGGCCCGCATTTCCGGATCTTCTTGGCCCAATGCCTCCCGCACCCTTCTGCTGGTCAGCTGTGTTTCCGGATCGTTTTCGGTAAGCGTGTGCTACGTCTCCATGGGGCAGCTCTTTTACGTGCAAACTCAACCCTTGCGCTCTTCCAGCTGCTTTTGCCAGCGTGTTCCAGATTTTGCCAAGAGAGAAAAGAAACCGAGAACCTGTCTCTATTTCAAGCAGCACCCAATGCTTCTCATGGTTGGGTTAAAATCAACGGAGAGTTGGCAGAGTACCTCGACTGCAAACACACCTGGGGCTCCCAACAGGGGCTCATGTTTGCCGTGAGAAAAAGATGTTTTACTGGGACGGCATTGAGGCGGCATACCTTGGTGCTATTTACAGACTAGCGTCAGCGACTAGCGTCAGCTCGTAGACTGCCAGATCTTGAGTGGTTTCTCTGGGTGTGGCCGGGGCAGTCGCTTGCGTGGCAAGCCCTCACATGAGCTGTGAACAGGGAAGGATGACTTGCTCCTAGCGGGGGCCATGGCGTTGGGTGAATCCAGAAGCACAAACATGTTAACTCAGCGGCAGTGCTTGCCAGCACACCTTACCAGACCTCGGAAAATGAATTGTTATATTTATTTCTGTTGTACTGGTACCCGAGGATTCTGCATTGGAACTTCGTTCGCCTGAAGCATGAAAGTGAACGTTTTGGCAACGACACTGTTCTCTTGCCACATTCGGTTTCCGGAGTCTTTTGCTTCTGCTGGTCATTTTTTTCTGGCCTTCACTGGCATGTGTCAGTGTTAACTAAGTCGTTTTCAGCGGGCGCTCCCTCGGGGCTATGCCAAGGCTACGGGACGGATGCCCCAAACCCAAGTCGATGGCCGAAGCCGAGGAAGCACTCGGATCTCGGAAGAGATGAGCTTGAGAGAGGCGGTCCATGAAGCAGGCCTTCCGGCCCCGGATGCGGCAAGGTCAGTCTTGGTTTCGTGTCCTGAGACATCCCCAAAACCTTTATATGGCTGTTTGGTTGGATCTCTCTACAACTATTTTGGTAAACAGGTCGGAATTCCCGAATTATGACCACTTGGTTGGATCTCTCAACTTTATGGCCATTTCGGGAAACAGGTCAGATTTCCCGAATGGGGCCCGTCAAAAAACTTTAACACTTTTTCCTTGCAGAGGGGTCAACCGCAAGCGATCCTGATCCATGATGTCACTGGAAAACGGGCCCGCTGGAACCAGCAATCAGGGTTCTTCCTGTGGCATGCGGAAGGCAGTGACCCGGCAACCTTTTGCAATGACTCGCGGGTAGAAAAGGGAAGGCCAGATGACCTTGCTTTTTTTTTGGGGGGGCGTCCGTTTTAGCAGGGCTTCGACGGCAGGGCAACAATTTAGATGTCTCGACTCCGGAAGTTGGTGGGTGTCCGTGTTTCGTTTTGCCCTCAGAGGTTAGGACCAACATGGGCGTGTTTATTTCAGAGTTCTGTTTTTTAGGAGAAACTATTTGAAACTATTTATAACAATCCAAGAAACTATTTGCAGGGCTGTTTCGATGACGATACGGTTCGGTACCGCAAGCTCCGCGATACCACTCGATTTTATTGATATGTATTGCTTTGAATATCCGATAAACTTGCGATACAGCAGGGGAGTATTGAACAATATCTCGATAAAGGAATATACTCAACCGCTGCGGCCCTGCGGCTGCGCGCTGGTGTGCGCCAACAGGCCGGGAACCTCGAATTCGTCGCCAAAAGCCCGAAAGAAGCAAGAATCGAGCCCGCACTTCCACAGGTGCCAGAGCCAAAGGCAATCCACTACACCAAAGTACTCAAAGAAAGGTATGAAATCGACATTGATCTTGGTCCGGTTGAGGAGTTCCCGAACCCCTCAAAAACGATCTAACTCGCCGAGTTAGGTTGATTTCTGGCCTTGGCTGGTTTGAGCCTTGGTACGCGGGAACCCTCAAACGGTTTGGTTGGTTTCTGCTGTCGCAGCTGTCCCGGATGAGCCCTGGGAAGTGGGAACCCTCAAAAACGATCTAGCTCGCCGAGTTAGGTTGATTTCTGGCCTTGGCTGGTTGCAGCTGTCCCGGATGAGCCCTGAAGTGGGAACCCTCAAAAACGATCTAACTCGCCGAGTTAGGTTGATTTCTGGCCTCGGCTGGTTGCAGCTGTCCCGGATGAGCCCTGGGAAGTGGGAACCCTGAAAAACGATCTAACTCGCCGAGTTAGGTTGATTTCTGGCCTTGGCTGGTTGCAGCTGTCCCGGATGAGCCTTGGGAAGTCGGAACCCTCAAAAACGATCTAACTCGCCGAGTTAGGTTGATTTCTGGCCTTGGCTGGTTGCAGCTGTCCCGGATTGAGCCTTGGTCAGCGGGAACCCTCACAAACGGTGTAACTCGCCTAGTTTGGTTGGTTTCTGCTGTCGCAGCTGTCCCGGATGAGCCCTGGGAAGTGGGAACCCTCAAAAACGATCTAACTCGCCGAGTTAGGTTGATTTCTGGCCTTGGCTGGTTGCAGCTGTCCCGGATGAGCCCTGGGAAGTGGGAACCCTCAAAAACGATCTAACTCGCCGAGTTAGGTTGATTTCTGGCCTTGGCTGGTTGCAGCTGTCCCGGATGAGCCCTGAAGTGGGAACCCTCAAAAACGATCTAACTCGCCGAGTTAGGTTGATTTCTGGCCTCGGCTGGTTGCAGCTGTCCCGGATGAGCCCTGGGAAGTGGGAACCCTCAAAAACGATCTAACTCGCCGAGTTAGGTTGATTTCTGGCCTTGGCTGGTTGCAGCTGTCCCGGATGAGCCCTGAAGTGGGAACCCTCAAAAACGATCTAACTCGCCGAGTTAGGTTGATTTCTGGCCTTGGCTGGTTGCAGCTGTCCCGGATGAGCCCTGAGAAGTGGGAACCCTCAAAAACGATCTAACTCGCCGAGTTAGGTTGATTTCTGGCCTCGGCTGGTTGCAGCTGTCCGGATGAGCCCTGGGAAGTGTTCAACATGGAATCGGCTTGAAGCAGTCTCAGTCTGTTTTCCAGCGCCTCCCGTGCCAGGCAGCCACCAGCACAGCAGCAGCTGGCTGCCGCCCTTCTGGCCCCAAAGGGCCCCTCAAAGCAAACCCCAACCGATACCGATACAAATCGGTATGATTCAAAACGATTTGCAGCGATAGTCTTCGATACGATGTGAGGTTGCGATACTTGCTTTTCGATACCGATAGCTCGCAATACGCAACGATACGATTCGGTATGTTGTATTTGTATTGTTGAAACGACCCTGTATTTGAGACTATTTATAAGAATCCCAGACTGTTTGAGACTATTTATAAAAACAAAAAACGCCTAGAAACTGTTTGAGACCATTTATAGAAACACAGCAAGAAACTGTTTTGAGACTATTTGTAAAAAAGAAGCAGGCAACCGTTGGTGTATGTGCAAAAGTAAGGGCCTTATTTGAGCAAGAAGGCAGACACATGGACACTGTCTATAACCATGTTTTAGGCACTGGGCGCTTCTGGACCTTTGGGTCCAAAAGCAAATAGAACTTACCTCAACAAACGGAAACTAGTTGAAACTATTTCTTTAAATTTAGGAAACTATTTGCTTGTAAATTGCAGGAAACTATTCGAGACTATTTTTACAATTCCTGGGCAATACTTGAAACATTGTTGTTTTCTTAATGTTGGTATTTGAAACTATTGATAAATGTTTAGTAAGCTCTCCGAAACTAGTTATAAACCGACGTCTGGAAGCTATCTGAAACCGTTCATAAACAAATGAGTTAACTACGTTGAAAGATGCATAACCACACAAACTACTTCTGAAATCTGGAGAAGCTATTCGGAGCCAGTTTCGAAGGTTGTGCGTTTATTCACATGTCTCATTTGGCATTCCCATTGGTATTCCCAACCAGCAAGGGAATACTGAGGTCCGCGACAGCAAGGAAGTAAATCGCCTTGAGCCGCCCAGTTCTGCAATTCTTTGCCTTGACAGTGTGAGCTCAAGCTGTTTCCGCAATGGGGGGGGGGCAGAAGCTTAAGTGTCATGTCTGCGCTGGTTGTTAGCATTATTTCGGAAGCGGGTTGAGCAGCAAGGGGCCTTGCCCAATTGAATGATTTGCGAGGACGAGGTGGGCGCAGACGGTTCGTCAGCATTGAACTAACCATTCTACACGGCACAGCTGCCACACATTGTAGTTTTTGTGTGTTGCTGGTGCAGTGGCAAGTCGAAAAAACGAAGAAGATCGCAAACCCGCTGAGCTGTTGTCTTCTGAAGGATGTGCAGCTGAGAGCATCGCGATGCGGCGTGCTGCGCGGCACGCAGAAAAGCCTGTGGCAATTGTGTCAACCAGAAGCGGCAGGCGCTTGCAGTAAGTTTCAAGTTGGCGGCCCGCTGTGAACGCAATCGGCGGAAAGGAGGTTGTTTGGTGGCCGCGCGGGGTGATGTCTCATCATGCAGGTTTCGCTGGGCGTTGCCGTCGGTGGCCGTAACCTACGCCGTGTTGAAAAAATCGTCCCAGCAACATCCTGACAGAGACGCTGCTTCCACAACAAAGCCTCTCTACAGAATGTTGTAGATTTCGTTAACTGGCGTCAAGTGTGTAAGGTGATGTGATGCGCCCGAGGGCATGCTTTCTTGGACTTTTGGTTGCGCAGGTATCCAAATGGTGCTACGCAATGGTTATGGTACAAACAAAAGGTTATGTTCTGCCTCTGGATTCGGATCCCGGCCAGGCATCCAATTAGTTGGCCAATGCAAAGGCCGTTTGTTTGCGAGTGATCTGGTTGCGGACTTGTAGTGTGACTGGATGCCCACCTAGGCAAACCTAACTGCAACATGATGGTACTAAGAGCCGCCGCCGTCGTTGCGGACTAACGTGTTGCGTGGCAACTTCCTCTACTTGTGCTTGCCCTAGCATTGAATCACTGAGAGTTGATCTTGCGCTGTTGGCAGTCTTCACGCAGCTCACAGAGCCCTAATAAGCCAAGCTGGGATGGGGAAAGGTCAGGAGGCGGGCCGCCGGCTTACTGCAAACGCCCCGGCCCGCGGAGTCGCGCCGGCCACCCGTAGTCCGAAAGGCTATGCAGCGCGTTGAAAGCTAGCTGCGCGCTGGCCCAACGTAAAAGCCGCGTTAACTTTGCCCTGGGCGGCCGGGGGAGTGGCTCGGGCGGACTGACGGTGTCAAGTGGGGTGTGAGGGGGACCGGTCGTGGACTGACGGGGACGGGCCGGGGACTGACGGGGACAGCCGTGGACTGACGGGTGTGTGGGCTCACGCAAAACCTCACTTAAAACAGTGGTGGAAACTATTTCTAAATTTTCCGGAAACTATTTGAGACTATTTATAAAATTTCGAGAAACTATTCGAAACCATTTCTACATTTGCTGACTTTTTCAAAGACCGCAGATCTTTGGCTGGGGCCCAGAGACTTGGGTCGTAGCCTGGGTTGGCAGGGTGGCGGTCATTCCCCGCAGGCCCGCCCTGCAGAACCCGCCTCATCCCACCCCCCCCGGCCCGGCTGCCAAGCTGGCGAATTAGGCGGGGCTCGGGCTCTCGAACTTGCGCTGCACCTAGTGGGTGAGTGCCCTGGCAACGCCCCAGGTTCTTCATGGTCAGGCGTGCTGCTTCAAAACAAGACACAAACCGCTGCGATCTGTTGCAACACTCCACTCCTGCTTGGAGAGTCGCCCCAAGCCTTTTCAAACCATTGCCTGCTTTTTCTAGATCCTGTTTTAGAAATAGTCCCAAACCGTCCCGAACCGCTTCCCGCTATTTGTAAATCAGTTTTAGAAATAGTCCTAAACCGTCCCAAACCGTTTTCCGCTACTTCTAAGTCTTGTTTTAGAAGCAGTCCCAGACCGTTTCAAACCGCTTCCCGCTATTTCTAAAACGATTTTAGAAATAGTTCCAAACCGTTCGAAACCGTTTCCCGCTATTTGTAAGCATTGGGCTGCCCAGAGCCACTTTTTGCTTCGCATAGTCTCAAATAATCTCAAATAGTTCCAAATAGTTCCAAATAGTTTTGCATAGTTTCCGGCTTCAGCATGCTTACAAATGGTCGCAAACCGTCCCAAACCGTTCCCCGCTATTTTTAAAACCTTTTTAGAAATAGTCCCAAACCGTCCCGAACCGCTTCCCGCTATTTGTAAATCAGTTTTAGAAATAGTCCTAAACCGTCCCAAACCGTTTTCCGCTACTTCTAAGTCTTGTTTTAGAAACAGTCCCAGACCGTTTCAAACCGCTTCCCGCTATTTCTAAAACGATTTTAGAAGTAGTTCCAAACCGTTCGAAACCGTTTCCCGCTATTTGTAAGCATTGGGCTGCCCAGAGCCACTTTTTGCTTCGCATAGTCTCAAATAGTTCCAAATAGTTTTGCATAGTTTCCGGCTTCAGCATGCTTACAAATGGTCGCAAACCGTCCCAAACCGTTCCCCGCTATTTTTAAAACCTTTTTAGAAATAGTTCCAAACCGTCCCGAACCGTTTCTTGCATTTCTAAACACATGTTTAGAAATAGTCCCAAACCGTTTCGAACCGCTTCCGGCTGTTTCTAAATTCCGTTATAGAAATAGTCCCAAACCGTCCCGAACCGTTTCCCGCTATGTCTGAAACCTGTTCTAGAAATAGTCCCGAACCGTCCCGAACCGTTTCCCGCTATGTCTAAAACTTGTTTTAGTTTGAGATAGCCCCAGACCGTCCCTAACTGTTTCATGCTGTTACAAACTCCTGCTTTAGACACCCGTTTGGCGCCATATCTAAAAGTGCCTTGGCGTTGTTGCCACCAGCGCCAACGCAGATTTCTCTATCAGCCAACATGTGGCTTGAACATGTTTTCCTGCTTGTCTTGACCGGTGTGATGGGGTGAGCTTTCAGGCGTGTCGTGCTTTCGCTACGAATGGCAAGCAACGGTGGATGAGCCTCAGTCTTCTCTTGCAACTCCTGCGCGCCTTTGTTCGCGAAAGGATGAAGTTTCCTCGGAGTTAGAAACAGCCTCATTGCAGCTCCCTATGATTTGTTGTTGGGAGCCATAGCAGTTTTCTTTGATGTAAGAATAGTCTCACGTAACTGCTTTTTTGATTCAAGAGTAGTCTCACATAGTTTCACGTTGACTCATAAATAGTCTCACATAGCGTCCCTTTGATTTGTACGTAGTCTCACATAGTTTCCCTTTGATTTATATGCAGTGTCACATAGATTCTCCTTGACTTGAAAATAGCCTCTTGTAGTTTCCAAATAGTCTCCTGTAGTTTCCTTTGATTTAAACATAGTCTTGTGTAGTTTCCCTTTGATCTGTAAGTACTCTCACAAAGCTTCTTTGTTATTTATAAATAGTCCTACATAGCTTCTCCCTGACTCATAAATAATATCATAGCTTCTCTTTCATGTAGAAATAGTCTCAAATAGTTTGCCTTTTATTTTTAATAGTCTCACGTAGTTTGTCATTTATTTATTCAGAGTCTCAGATAGCTTCTCGATCATTTATAAATAGTCTCAAATAGCTTCTTGATTATTTATACACAGTCTCAAGTAGTCCCTGCCCTTGCCCCCTTGCCAACAGATAAACAGGCCGACGTTAGTCCCAACTCAGAGGCCTTTTAGCCAAGAAGCTGAGCAAAGACGAGATCGCCGGCCTGGTGCGGGGCGTGGGGTACAACGATAGCGCGGCTCGGTGTTCGCGCTCGCCCCTGCTTAACCCTGACCCTTACCTCTAAGCAAAGTTTGGGCCTTAACCACCAGGTCTTCTGGCAGAGTCTTCCCAGGCCAGGGACTTCATGAGTGAGTAATTGGCTATCCTTGTTGTTCAACCGCGGGTAGCCCGTACGGCTTCTATGACGTTCAGAGATGGCGCTTTTTTGCAAGAAGCGCTTGCAGCCATGCAGGATTTGGTTGAAAGACTCCAAGGGGCACACGAGTTTGCCAGAATTTGCTAGCATTCCCAGCTCAAGCCAGACCACCTGTGGTGGCGTGTTCAAGTATTGGCGACCAATGTGTACCCATTCTTCGGTGCTTAAAGCGAGAGCAACAATGAAATCGGGATGTCTTGGCACCCATTTTCTTATGTGGGACGAGCCCCTCCATTGCTCCTCGGAGCCGGTCACGTCCTCTGAGGTCTACAACCCCCCGTTGGGCTACTTCGTGGGAAACAGCGCGCCGGTGCCACGCTTGGGCATCCCGTCGCTGAACTTGCAGGACGTTCCTCGAAGCCGAGTTGGGCGTGACACAAAAAGTGGGACCCACACAAATCGATGGGTTTCCAGTCCTCCTCTCAAACGTGCTGTCCTACTTTGAGGCAAACCCAGCTCGACCCCTGGAATGGTCCCAGTGACTCAGTCGATTTCACCCCTGCTTGGTTGGGTGTCTGAAGTAAGTTTGTCCAACGACCACAAAAACAAAGACGCTCTTTTTCTACCAGGGTCACTGAGCAAGTGGGAGGGTTCAAGCGCCCCTTGCTTCGGAGAGCGAACTCATTAGATCCTTCTCTTGGGGATGCCTTATCTTTGTGCTTCCCAGCCATTCCAGTAGGTTTTTAGGTTTTAGTGTTCACTGATAGTTTCCACCAAACCACTACCAGATGAACTTTCAGCAGGGATCTGAGGACGTCCCAGTCAGGCTTTGGTTTTGGAATCATGCAATTTGACGATTTGCTGGTTCCTGCTTGACATACCCAGGTTGTCACCACTTTTTCTTGAGGAAGTGTTTGCAAGTGTCTCTGGGCATTGGTCTTTTGCAGGCCCATTTAGAGAGCGCATTCCTAAACTTCAATCCCCCTGGTGAGAGATCAAACGAATGTTAGAAGCCTGAATTGGGCTCTATTGACTATGCGCTTGTCATCGCGTCCAAAGCATGAGTAAAGCATGTGCACCTCGGTCAAGTGCGGAAGTGTCGATAAAAAAAAGCACCGCCGGGCACCAATCAAATGCAACCTTCTTCGGATTCCAGAGGCTACATACTGTATTGGGTGTTCAACCATTGCTTCGTCACTTGTTGCTTGCTATATATATATATATATATATATATATATATGCGGTTGTCACATCTGGGAGGGGGGTTGGCCGGCGGGAGCTTTATGTGGATCTTACGCGGATGGCCATGGCCCAACCTGAGCCAGTGCTTTCTAAGAAGTGGCATGTGTGCTTGCTGCTTCTACCCCATGGGGTGCAAACAAGCATTTACACGTGCACTACTGCCATCAGCGCTTGTGGCAGCAGCAGTCAGTGGCAGCAGGCCTTGGCCTTGTTCCATGCCATGCCTCAGGCAAGGTTGCAGGCGAATGAGTTCAGCTTCAATGCAGCCATCAGTGCGTGTGGAAAGGGTGGGCAGTGGCAGCACGCGCTGGCCTTGTTCGGAATCATGCTTGATGCACATGTGCAAGCAAAGGTAATTAGCTTCAGTGCAGCCATTAGTGCCTGCAGCACCAGCACGCAGTGGCAGCGGGCGTTGGCCTTGTTCCATACCATGCCTCAAGCAAAGGTGCAGGCAAATGACATCAGTTTTAACTCAGCCATTAGCGCATGCGAGAAGGGTAGGCAGTGGAAGCAGGCGCTAGCATTTTTCCACGCCATGCCCGACGCAAATGTGCGCTCGGATGCAATCAGCTTTAACTCGTCCATCAGTGCATGCGAAAAAAGCGGGCAGTGGCAGCAGGCGCTGGCCTTGTTTAGCGCCATGCCTGACGCACTTGTTCAGGCAAATGTTGTTACCTTCAGCGCAGCCATCAGTGCTTGCAGTACCAGCGGGAAGTGGCAACAAGGTTTGGCCCTGTTCCATGGCATGCCTGAAGCAAAGGTAGAGGCAAATGCCATTAGCTTTAGTGCAGCAGTGAGTGCTTGTGAGTTACAAGGAAAGTGGCAGCAGGCATTTGCCTTAATTCAAGCTATGCATGAAGCAAAGGCTCAAGCCAATGTAATAATCTTCAGCGCGGCAGTGAGCGTTTGTCACAAAGCAGGGCAGTGGCAGCAAGCCTTGGCCTTGCTTCAAGCCATGCGCAAGGCACAGGTCCGAGCAAATGTAATCAGCTTTAGTGCGACCATCAGCGCATGTGAGACAGCTGGCAAATGGCAGCAAGCGCTCGTTTTGTTTCAAGCCATGCCTGAATCAAAGATACAAGCCAACACAATAAGCTTCAACGCGGCCATCAGTGCTTGTGAGAAGGCTGGCCATTGGCAGCAAGCGCTGGCCTTGTTCAAAGCCATGCCTGAGGCAACCGTGTACTGTGATGAGGTAAGCTTTAGTGCGGCCATCAGTGCGTGCGAGAAAGCTGGGCAGTGGCAGCAAGCACTGGCCTTGTTTATGTCCATGCCTGATGCGCATGTGCGAGCAAACGTCATTACCTTCAGCGCAACCATCAGCGCATGCAGCAAAAGTGCAGAGTGGCAGCAAGGCTTGGCTGTGTTCCATGCCATGCCAGAAGCAAAGGTACAAGCAAATGTCATCAGCTTTTGTGCAGCCCTCACTTTGTGTGAGAAAGGTCGGCGGTGGAAGCAGGCGCTCGCCTTGTTCAGTTCCATGGCTGACACAAACGCGCATGCAGATACCATCAGCTTTAACTCGTCCATCAGCGCATGCGAAAAAGGCGGGCAGTGGCAGCAGGCGCTGGCCTTGTTTGGGCTCATGCCTGGCGCGCGTGTTCAGGCAAACGTTGTAACCTTCAGCGCGGCCACCAGTGCTTGCAGCACAAGCGCGCACTGGCAGCAGGCATTGGCCTTGTTCCATGCCATGCCCAAAGCGAAGGTGGTGGCAAATGCTGTCAGTTTTAGTGCAGCCATTAGTGCGTGTGAGGCTGGCTCTTATTTTGATCAGGCGCTGTGCCTGCTTGAAGCGTTGCAAGTGAAGACATCAGCTCCTGCACAGCCGTCGGAATTTATCAAAGGTGATCGGCAGTAGGTGAGGTTAAAGTAACTAGGTGCAAGACCAGCTCCAATGCTGATTTGTCCCTTGTGTGAAAGCAGGCATGCGATCCAGTGATTCTCAGGGTTCCATTTCATGAAAACCCAAAAGTAGGCTTCCATTTTTGTTGACCGAATTCGACCACGCCGGGTTTAAGCCTACCTTGGGCGCAATCCAAAAATGTAACTTTGGCGCTCTGCACGTTGAGGTTTGCGCATAGTTGCACAAGCTCAGCGCGCAGAGTCACGAGCACACAAAGCTTGTTGTAACATGAGCAAGCCGAGACCAATGGATTTAGCTGAGGCCGCTTGGACTAACTCGCATCGGTTGCGCAGGGTTACGGCGTGCAGACGGGTAGGTCACTGGGTAAGGTGAGTACTGTGGATGGTTGCGAAGTCCTCTGAGGCACCACCTAAAAAACCCAAAGGAATGGTATGATACCCCTGCAAATACCTACAGACCATGGTTTCCCATTGTGTGTTGGTTGCGAAGGGATTTTGTCCATCCACAGGAGCTCAAAGGAAGGCTGGCGTGACGTGATGTTGTCTTGCTCGCGGCCACACGCCAGCGCGCGGCCAGAACAAAGTTGCACAGGATGGCATGCCATAGAAGACGACATTTAACCACGGAGCTCGCGAAGCCCGTGCACCGGGGGCTCGAATGTCTTTGGGCATTCGTTGCCCGACGATGCCCCGACGCCCTGCCTGAAGTCATGTGTGTGTGTGTGTGTGTGTGTGTGTGTGTGTGTGTGTGTGTGTGTGTGTGTGTGTGTGTGTGTGTGTGTGTGTGTGTGTGTGTGTGTGTGTGTGTGTGTGTGTGTGTGTGTGTGTGTGTGTGTGTGTGTGTGTGTGTGTGTGTGTGTGTGTGTGTGTGTGTGTGTGTGTCTCTGTGTGTGTGTGTCTCTGTGTGTGTGTCTCTGTGTGTGTCTCTGTGTGTGTCTCTGTGTGTGTCTGTGTGTGTGTGTGTGTGTGTCTGTGTGTCTGTGTGTCTGTGTGTCTGTGTGTCTGTGTGTCTGTGTGTCCGTGTGTCCGTGTGTCCGTGTGTCCGTGTGTCCGTGTCTCCGTGTGTCTGTGTGTCTGTGTGTCTGTGTGTCTGCGTGTCTGTGTGTCTGTGTGTGTCTGTGTGTGTCTGCGTGTCTGCGTGTCTGTGTGTTTGTCTGTCTGTTTGTCTGTCTGTCTGTCTGTCTGTCTGTGTCTTTTTCTCCGCCCAGCGCCTTAGGACAGTGCGCAATGATTTTTCATTTATTTATGTTTGGCCTCCGCAGTCTGTGCGAGTTGCAGTGCTTACCAACTCTCACTTGCACGAGGTCAATGGGTTTCTAAGAACTAGTTGAAGGAGAAAGAGGGCTTGCTAAAAACTTGGCATCCGTTTAAAATGGTTGGGCAGCTATTTCGGTGTGTCTAAATCAGAAACTGGTTTTAGGCGGTTGGCTGTGTTTTGGTTTCCCTCTCAATCCCTCCCTCGGGGAGCTCCCACATTTTGAGAGATGCATTTCGCTTCAGCTGAGCTGGGCGGGGGTTGTAACCACTTCGCTTGACAGGCGCATGCAGGAGCCCCTTGGCAGGTGAGAGGCTTCACATGTTTCCCGCTCGTCTTGTAACAGGGCTCCTTAAAAGATACATTTTGCCCATTTTGAAACATGGCTTTTTTGGTTCCGGGTTTCACACATAGGGTTAATTCGTACCGTCTCTTGTTACAATCTTCCTCCACAATTGTTTCGGTCAGATGCCCTGAATGGCATGACTCTGCTTGGTCAACTGTTTGGCTGTTATCCTACCGGTCTTTCACGGCCATTTTGGCTTGTCTTGCCTCGCTTCGCAAGGATTGCGAGGTTAATACCGATCATGGATTCCTGTGACTCATGTTGATTGACCGGTGTGCCTGTACAAACGACGCGTTGAACCGCAGCTCTGTGTTCCCATGACGCAGATGCGTGTTGGATTTGGAGGGTGGAGCTTTCCAGGTTCAAGCGGCTCCTGTCACCCTGAAAGGGGACAGCATGCGGGCATGCGGCTCACCATAGGTTACAGGCACATGTACTGCGGTTGCTCCTGGGGTTGCTTGCTGCGAGCACCTCTTCGGTCCCTTGGTGGGCTTTGCGGTGGGTCGCGGATCTCAAGTATTTAGAGAGAGGCCAATCCAGCCGGACTTGTCGGTGGTGAAGCGAAGGTTCCTCCGCTCAAAGCAAGTGCAGAATGACCAACCGGCCAGCCCGAGAGGCAGATGGAGAGTCTTCCGGCAAGGCGCGGGCAGGCAATGGCTGCACAGCCTGAGGTGTTCATAAAGAAGCTCGTGCATGCAGA